GCTCAAAAGATTGGAATAAATTATTTTTTTAATGTGCATATTAGAATGATTTCTGAAGGATCATGTGACACTAAAGACTGGAGTAATGCTGAAAATTCAACTTGAATCACAGGAATAAATTATATTTTAAAATAGAAGACTGTTCTTTTAAATTGTAATAATATTTTACTAACATTTTGGATGCTTTTGGATCCGAAATGATTGAATTGGTCTCTTGAGACCAGAATATGGATTCCCAGACGTCTCTATTTTGTAAATATGGGCCCTGGAAGAGGTTAAATGAGTTTATTTTGCTTTGGCTACAGTAGGTAATTCTAGTGGTGACAACAACCATGCATGTCACTTCTGCAGGCTGCGTCATACTCTGTGAGATAAAGTGTCACTCTTTTCACAGCTTTTGCTGGCTCTGAGACACTTGCATGTTATTTCTCCTGCTCTTTTTCTAGCAAAAAATCACTCATTACTAAATGAAAACTTAAAGTGAAGACCGGATTATTTCAGGAGCCTTATCACAAGTCCATAGTTTTTGAATGTTGGTGCTACTTCTGCTATATTTTCACACTTAAAGCAATATAATTTGGTATTCCTCTTGTACCATTGTCCTCTTTTATACCAAGAAATAAGTCACCTGGCAGTTCTCTCCCAAGTGGTTCCACTGCTGCCAGCATTAAGTCTTGAGTATGATTCAGTGGGCTATTTAACACTTTTAATTGTCAGGAAATTACTTGTCTTTAAAAGTTTTGATTCAATATACTTACCCGTTGATCAAAAATAGCCTTAAACCTATACACTTTTTTTATTTTTATATTTAGTAACTTTCAGGAGGGTGTACTCATTTTTGCAACACAACATTTTATCACTTTGATAAGAAAATCTTATTTTGCTGAATAATTTTGGCATTCTTCTTTGGTAATTGATCAAGCAGGCTTGTTGGAACATCACATCTCCAAAGAACCCTAACATGTCTTCTAAGTAAAGAGTAATTGCTGAATTTGTTAAGTTTTAGAGGGGGTGTACTCATTTATGCTGTGCACTGTGTATATATACTGAACAAAATTATAAACGCAACACTTTTGTTTTTGCCCCCATTTTTCATGAGCTGAACTCAAAGAACTAAGACTTTTTCTATGTACACAAAAGGCCTATTTCTCTCAAATATTGTTCACAAATCTGTCTAAATCTGTGTTAGTGAGCACTTCTCCTTTGCCGAGATAATCCATCCACCTCACAGGTGTGGCATATCAAGATGCTGATTAGACAGCATGATTATTGCACAGGTGTGCCTTAGGCTGGCCACAATAAAAGGCCACTCTAAAATGTGCACATGGGCCTAATTATAACCTATCTAGACGGAAGTCCCTCAAGAGAATATTATTCTTATTATGTTTCCTCAAATATAACCATATCAACTTCTGAGTGCCACCAAAATAAACAGGACACAATAGAGAGAACATGTAAGATGCACCTGTGAGAGCTGTTGTCATATTTTCCTCCTCTCCTGGTTTTGCCCGTGTCTTCCTGTACATTTTTGTGCCTCTCCTTCTCTAGAAGCTCTATCTCCTCATCAGAACTGGTGTGATCTCGGTTAGGGCCTCCCCAGCGATCCGGCGTCTCTCCCCAGCGTCTCCGTGGCCTTGATAACTTAGGCACTCCGGAAATGGGCTCAGTCAGAGTGGCAACATCCCTTTTTGAGAACACGGTGTTCTCCGGGCTCTGACTGGCCTTTTGCGCTTGTACCTCTAGAGAACCAACAGGGTACTTTGGAGTAATAGAGCCAAAACGATCTCTCTCCAGGGCCTGACAGAAACATGATCAACATATGCTGAGGATTCAAGGAGAGGTTCAAGTCTACAGAATTTTAAAAGAATAGTTGAATTGAATGATAATTTGCTGAAAATTCCACTGGAGGAAGCAATTTTATGGATAGAGTATTTTAGCTAGGCGATGGTTTAAAGTTAAAACATCTCAGTGGTGCATTTGTTTTTTTACAAACATGCCGCTTCTCACTTCACAAGATGTTAATTGGTGGACTGGAGTTGTGTGTATTACTTGCAATGTTTTTATCAGCAGTTTGGACTCTCATTCTGACGGCACCCATTCACTGCAGAGGATCCATTAGTGAGCAAGTGATGTAATGATACATTTCTCCAAATCTGTCCCGTGAAGAAACAAACTCATCTACATGTTGAATGGCCTGGGTGCGTAAACTGTCAGCAAATTTTCATTTTTGGGTGAACTATTCCTTTAAACTGTAGTTCAATAAGGACATTAGTGAAGATTATTTATTAATGTAGATGTATAGGTCATATATCAACAAAATAATTCTTTATTTCATTTAAACCTGTAGGGTAGTTGAAGTTTTTCCTATTTTCTGTGCTCCCTCTTGCCCTCGGAGAAACATATTATATTCCTTGTTCCTCTCATCCTGCAGCTTTTCCTGGGTAGAATCACAAAACTGTTACATTAATAGTGTACTGTTACATTTCTATGGTAACAATAAACAATTATTCATAGTATAAGACCTCTTTTACGACTGTACAAATCTCAAATGTGTACGCAAAACAGATCTGCAGTTCAGCAATAAACTGGTTGCCACTAGACACCTTATCCAGCAAGCAAATCATTTTTCATCTCCCTGACGGCTTGCCAAACAGTAAGGATGGGTCTTTGTGCAACGGATTGAACCAGGTCATGGCACCAAATGCAGAATTTGCTCTAGTGATGCCTACGTTTACAGATGGACAACAAACACATTTTACCTTCGCTGATCTCCGTTCTTTTATGGGGAGAGACAGCATGTGGGACTGTGGAAGTGGATCAGCAATAATTTGATTTTTTTTCTAAGGAAGAAATAGAAGAAACTAATTAAAACTTTATTAAAATAAATAACTTATTTAAAATATATATCTGATTAACAAACAGAAACAAACTATTATGTAGTTTAAAAAAAAACATCAAAAGAGAAACAGGTGTGCAAGTAATTTTTTATTATATAGGCCTGTTTCAGATGTTTATAGAAACGTTATATTATATCAGAGGAGCATAGTGTACCTCAGACATAAAGTGTCGGTAATCAAGGCGTAGTTCTTGCTTTAACTTCTGCTTTTTTCTTTCATATTCCTCTCCAAGAGGTAAACTGAGGCCAAAACTTTCTTCTGGAAATAAGACGACAATATGAAACATCTTCAATGGCATTTTTAAATAAGTGAGAAAGAACAGACACTGATTTTAAAATGTATCATCCGATATCAAGTATTGAATATATGAATTTGACTGAAATTATATTGAAATATATCCTGCCTTTGGTCTGTTTGGGGTGAGAAGGTTGTTTTTTATTAGCAGGCTTGATGTTCTCCTTGTTACCAAAACTTGTCTATGAAAGAAAGACAAGTAATAAAACAATAGCTTGAAATATAAATACATAAAATGATCATGTTTTAACACACAAACAAATCAAGCAGCACTATTTCTATTAGAAATTAAACTTACCTTCATTTCCATGTAAGGCGCTTCTTCGGTGTTCGCCTTTCTGTCCTCCATAAAGTTGCTGATGTTGACATTCATATTCTCCCAAACCAGACTCGGCAGTTAATAAAAAGCTCTGGACAAGACAGAAGCCGTTATCAGATGAAGCTCTTATCAATAACACAAGAGTGAATATGCTGCTCTCTGGGCATGGAAATGAAGAAAGACTGTGTTTAGAGGAGGAGATGGAGCGGATGAGTGCAGACGCTGCAGACGCTGGGGTTGTTAGGCAACAACTCAACACAACACACGCGCCTCAACCTCCCACTCTTCAGACGATGGCTGTGTGTCCCAAAACCTAGAGATCATCGGATCCAAGACAGCATTTCTGAGCGGCATTCAGAATCTTGCGCCTTATGTGGAACTACTGCTACTAACTAACATTAACCACTCAAAAGTTGTTCTCACAGCTGACTGATATACACTCAAAATTTGTTCTCACAGCTGACTGATATATATTTCAAAATAAAAGTCCTATTTTTACTGACTGCCCTTTCAAAAAATGACCATGGTAACCATAGCTCCGTTACATAAACACTAATTCAAAAATGTTAACAGAGGAAAAATATCAAACGCTATCCACATAGCATCTGGTGTAGCTTGGTGCATCAAGAGCAAAACAGACCTTTAATGAATAGATGAGATCCATGCATGTGAACTGCTCCTACACTTTGCCACAGAACAGCAAAAAAATATTTATTTGTCTGTTTATTTAATTAAGTAATATATGTGCATCACTGCATAGAAGTCATCTACCTGCAAATTAGAAATGAATGTACCATATGTGACCAGAGAGCCAGAACTGAAAACATGCTATGCTTGGTTCAGTCCAGCAGATGGCACAAACAAATGTCTGATTGTGTATAATCACTAATAAGGTTGCAGCCACGTGAACATCTACTGATGGCCAAACAGATGCAAGGCAAACATGCTGGAAATCTGATTTATATCAGCTGTTTCAGTTGAGATGAGACTGTCATGAGATGAAATATCTGTCTGTTTCAATGCTGATGTGTTGATTTGTCTTTATCTTGAATTGTGACTTCAAAGTGCTATTAGGATATTTCCTAATTCCTCATACGAAATGCATAAGTGTTCCAGGAAAGGTTCTCTAAAACAGGTGTAATTGCTAAAAAAACAAACAAAAAAAGACTACAAACATGGTCTAACATTAAAAGAACAACAGACAGACAGACAGATAGATAGATAGATGGATATATAGATAGATAGATAGATAGATAGAGACAGAGACAGACAGATAGATAGATAGATAGATAGATAGACAGATTAAGTGTTCCAGGAAAGGTTCTCTAAAACAGGTGTAATTGCTAAAAAAACAAACTTTTAAAAGTCTTTAAAAAAAAAGACTACAAACATGGTCTAACATTAAAAGAACAACAGACAGACAGACAGATAGATAGATAGATAGATAGATGGATAGAATAGATAGATAGATAGATAGATAGATAGATATGGCGTGCGTGCTGTACTGTTTTGAGTTTGATAAATAAATATTGACTTCTTATGTTTTCTCATTGGATCTTCTCACTTCCGCTTGGCGGATCCAGGCTAATCGAAGTGCATGACGTCATTTCCGCTTGTGTCTTGGCAGGGAGGAGGCGGGGTGCTGAAATGACATTCGGCCCCACCAACCAAAGCATATTTCCCGGAGCCACGGTGATTAGGATCAATAAAGCGCTCTTGACATCCGTCTAGAACGACGGAGACACATATTTGCCAGATAGCTGGCTAAACACCTTACGGCAAAATGGCGGCGGGTACTGTCAACCCGTTTAACGTGAGTGATTCGGAGGAGGAAGCGGAGCAGAGGCAGGATGGCGCGGACACCGAGCGCAGCCCTAGTGATGAAGCGCAAGGCCACAGACTCGTTCCCTTCTCCCCGCCGGCGTACTCCGAGCCAGCCGCTCTGCTGTCCAGCAACCGAACCAGCCCGAGTGCGGACGGTATCCCCGCGTCGGCCGCGGCGGTGGCTGGGATCGGAGGAGGAGGCGCGGAGACTCGGGTGTCGCTTGATGCGATCGCCGCGCAGCTGCTCCGGGATCAGTACATCCTCACGGCCCTGGAGCTGCACACCGAGCTCCTGGAAGCCGGACGCGAGCTGCCTCGCCTGCGGGATTATTTCTCCAATCCAGGCAATTTCGAGCGGCAGAGCGGAACTCCACCCGCGTGCAAAGAGCAAGGTGTCGGTCCTGGAGGTCCGCTCAGTAAGTCATGAGATAATATGTTTATAATGTAGGTCGAACTGCAATAAAGTCTAGTCTTCCTGTATGAAGTAATGGACGTGTTTCAAAACCTACGAGACTGCATATGCTAGTCAAAAAGCATTTCAAACCAGTCTAAAATGGTCTCATAACCTGGTTAGACTGGCAGGTGTTAAGGTTTTGGACACTTGTCAGCTGGTCGACGAGCTTAAACTAGCTGAACTCCACTTTGGCCAGTCTGGAAAACCAGCTAGACTAGGTAACCATCTTAGTCTGATTTAAGTTGTGTTTTTTTTTAACAGGACACCTATTTAGCACCTAAATTAATGCCCAAAATGCTTTCTAGGTAGGCAGCTCACTAGGTTTTGGAGCTGCATACCTAGTTAGCACAAACAAATGTACAAAGTTCAAGTTGCAAACTTGCTATCTAGTTAGGCTGCTTACTAGGATTTGTAACAGGATACCTAGTTAGTACCCGAATTAATAATCTAAAATGCTGTCTAGGTAGGCAACTCGCTAGGTTTGGGAGCTGGATACCTAGTTAGCACATAAACAAATATATAAAATTGCTATCTAGTTAGGCTCCTCACTAGGATTTGTAACAGGATATCTACTTAGTACCCAAATTAATCAACGCACTCTTTAAACAGCCATAAAATACACCAACACTGCAGCTGTTCAAACTAGTACTCTAGCTAGACTACCTGTTAATTTCATATTGCAGTTTACTGTGTTTCAGTCTAATCCATTTAAGTGCAGAGGCTTGTTGGGGAGGCATTTTTAGGGCTGGATTGTGTCTTTGTTGTGTGATGTGATGTGAAGTCTTCCCACTGACTCCAGCTGTGCAGGTGCAGGATAGAAAGAGGAGAAAAAAAGATGCTCATATGAGGGGTATGTAAAACCTGACTGTGTGCAGTGATACATGGGATTGATGTACTTTGTTTGGTGTAATCAGGAATTCCTTTCGTGTTCTGTTTCTCTTATACCTTTGCTCCTAAATGAAGTTTCTTATCTGATAGCCTGCACTCGTCTGCCTCTTGCTATTTGCCTTTCAAAGCATGACGTTGGGATTTGTTTTTCTTGATTACTAGGTTGCATGTAGTTGCAGTGTGGATTGAAAATTGCTAAATTGTATAGTGTTGATCATTTATGAAATACTTTTTTTGATTAAAGATCAATGACATTTTTGCAAGACAATCAAGCCTTTGTTAAAAGGAGCCATTTCAGGTTACAAAAAAACCAATAATCTAAAGTGAAAGCAAACAATTAAAATTCTGTCATCATTTACTTACCCTCATGGTGTTCCAAAGCTGTTGTCTGTCTTCTGTGGAACACAAAAAGAAGATATTTTGAAGAATACTGGCAACCAAAATGTTTTGGTTATGATTGAATTTTATTATTTGGACAAGATAGACATGTCTCAAAATAGCTTCTTTTATGTTCTAGAAAGAATCTCTTACAGTTTTGCAACATCAGGGTGAGTAAATGATGATATAATCATCTTTTTTGGGTAAGTTGTCCGTTTAAACCCCACCTTAAAAATGTTATTGACCAATCAGCTGTTGCCATTTACCATATAATTAGGCAAGCTTTTGTTCTGTGCTATTGCAAGTTAGATGTGTTTGGACAGTTATAGAATATTGCATAAATTATGGGGGGAAATGTTGTCAGCTAGTGACACAATGTACCCAGGGAGGATTTTTTTTTAAATTTTTTGTACTTTTTTTAACCTTTAAAATAAGTTGTGGATTAAACTCTAACCCTCATTTACAAATGAACATTTATAATATCAATAAATAATGTTAAATAATAAACAGTTTAATAAATAAATAATGTGAAAAATATAGAATCTTTTTTATTACAAAATAATAACAGTGGCCATTGCAAAAACATTGACGGCCAATCAGAATCCACCTGACTCAAGCTTTTTAAAGTAGCGCACACACAAAACTGTGTGTGCACTTATAATAAACAGAAAGTTATCGTTCATTGGTGTGGATGCTAAATAATATAGTTATCTTTATAGTTATCGCTCTTGGTGTGCACAAGCCTTGAATCATTGTTTCATACAAATCTTGTATGATGACAACCTAATTGAAAATTTCTGTGTGGTTGCTGAAGCTTATGGAATGATTGCAGGTATTCTACAGGTTGATTGAATGAGGAAGTACTGATCAAATATTAGACTGAATGCTTTCAAATCTGTCCTGGTTGTAATTTATGCTTTTAGCAGACACTTTTATCCAAAGCGACTTACAGTGCATTCAGGCTATACATTTTTTACCAATATGTGTGTTCTCAGAGAATCGAACCCACAAACTTTTGCGCTGCTAACGCAATGTTCTACCACTGAGCCACATGAACTGATTGTATCATAGTTATTCTTCAATTTTTATGTGTGGTGTGTTTGCGTGACTGCCTGGCATAAGTGCACATCAACTGCACATTTTCTCCGCCTGCTGCTGACTGAACATGTGGGTGGGCATGTTGAAATGGCTTTTATGCAGGCTTATTCACGGTTCAAAACAATCATTAATCCATCTAATCAGCTGCCTATTGCAAAGAGTATTATATCTGAATATTTGTCCCGTTTCGCATGACAACCATCTTTCCTAAATCTGATATTAAGATTCGTAAAATTGCATGTAGTCCTGCAACCTTCCCACTGTACATGAAAACCTTAATTTGTTTTGTAAAATGAAATTGTTATAAATTTCTTGGTTTTACGAATTATGCTGTCAAAAATAAAACCATACAAATTTTAAGACCTATAAAAGTTCTAAAAGGATGTTTCCCCCCCTGGTCATTCCATAGAAGAACCGCCTTGGGTTCGACAATGAATGAACCTTTCAGTGAACAGTTCTTAAAATAACCTTTTTTTTCTTAGTGTGAAGAACATTTTAATCATCGGAAAAAAGGTTTTTGTTTTTTTTTTTCCACGAAAAAGGTAACATCAAAACAAGAGATTTATGTAAAGGAAACATAAATCCACTAAAGGACATGGAAATGTTCCATGGATGTTAAAGATTCTTCATGAAACCACCGATGCTAAAGAACCTGTATTTTTAAGAGGACCAAAAGACGGGATGTGACCTCATCAGCTGAGTGCAGTGTCCTAAGTGACACCGTTCTCCAGGGAGAGGGGGATGCTATTGAATTTAGAAGACTAGACCTGGGTTGCCTGTTTGTGTTGGTTTTTTTAAACAGTGTTTTTTTCAACTGGGTTACTTAGTCTGCATTGGAGGCTGAACCGCACTTAACTGGCTCTTAAATACATGCCTAATTGCTATTGACTTGGTTCTAGAACACAGAGGTTTCAGGAGCCACAGGGTTTTATTAGCATTATGGCACTAACCCCCTCCCCAAAAGAGGATCTGGCAACCAGCTGAGAGGGAGCAGATGGCTCTCAACCACGCTTCTGTCACATCATTGCAGGAAGAGACATTATCAACACCTCACACGGTCTCGCCAATATTTTATCCTTTGCTAGATAGACGCAGCATCTGCTTGAGAAGCGTTTCAGGGATGAAAGGGCTTCTGTGTGTTTAGGATGTGAGAGGATTTGAAGCAACGCTGAATGAATATTGTAAACTGTATGATGCAGACTTGATTGGATCAGTTTTTGTAAAGCAGCTGTCGGGCTGTCATCAGGATCTAGTTTACTGCACAATTAACTGTGCCCCCACCGCCCCCAGCCTATTCATTGAGCTCCGAATGACACACAGCAAACAGACCAGAAGACACCATTAGGCCTTATGCAGCCTTATAAATGTATTTAAAATTTCTACTGATTCTTACTATACAATATTCTGCAAATCTGCATTGACCTACTGCCTAAATACGCACTTACATTAGCACTTACATTATAAAGACCTAAAATTATCGACCACATTGTCATTGTAAGTGGTAAAGCTCACTGAATGTTTTTTTTATCAAGTAAAATCGAAACCGTATGTCAGTCAATATACACTACTGAACAAAATTTTGGGATCAAGTTGATTTTTTTTTTAAAGAAATTAATTATTTTATTCAGCAAGGATGCATTAGAATGTGATCAAAGGTTACAGTAAAGACGTTTATAATGTTACTTACAAAGGATTTCAATTTTAAATACATTCTGTTCATATGAACTTTTTTATTCATTAAAGATTAAAAAAATATCTCACGACTTCCACAAAAATATTCAACATTGATAGTAATAAGAAATGTTATTTGAGCAGCATGTTTTATGAAGGATCATGCAGATCATATATTAAAAATTGTCATATTTTACAGTGCTTCAGTTTTTACTGTGTTTTTGGTCAAATAATGTTTTGTGAATATTTATTTTATTTGTATTTATTTTATTTTATTATTATTGTTATTTATTTATTTTATTGAATGTTGTGACCTGTGCTATGCTATTATGATCAAACCCCATTTTTGGCTTCTACATGGTAAAAATGCTGCTTTCATGGGAAGATGGTTTGTTGCACTTCTATGGTGCATACATATAGTGTAGCTGAAATGAAAAAGAGGGAGCGTTTATGTGGCCCTGAAGGTGTGGCTTTGATTTTTAATTATTGTAGCCATTTGCTTTGTAGTTAATGCTTAATTTATGGATTTTGGCAACCTGTGTCTAAAAATAAATGGCTCCTTTTTGTATAAACAGTGTCTTTCTAGCCTAGCGTCACTACCTCAGATTCCTGAGCTACTAAAATAACTTTGTATTGCTAATGCAAAACACTTAGTAGCCAAATTCTGATAGGAGATGTGAAGTTCTGTGTGCTCAATGATGAGAAGACACAAAAACTCCCTTTGATGTTACCTTTTTCATGGAAATCAACCTACGAATGGTTGACTTATAGTTTTTGCATATTAAACTGGAAAATAAGAAAGTGTTTTGACATCAAACAGATTATCATTTCTAATTTTGTGTTGATTATGTGAACTTTACCACACAGAAGCAAGTATGTGTGCATATTTATCGCTTACGAGTCACATGACTCGCCTGACACATTGAACAAGAGCTTTTCAATATCTTTCCTTGAAGAAAGCATCTTACGCATAGGTCAAGCTCACATATTGTCTTCGCAGAACCACCAGCCCCTCCCTGTCAACCAGTTTGACAAGATGTTTATTCAGCACCGCTCTGTGGCACTCTCACATGTTGGATCTCAGCATTGTCATTCAAGTCACGCCCAGAGAGAGTCACAAAACTGTTCCCTCATCAATACTTCTCTGTCCAAGGCTGTGATAGGCAGATCCACTAATTTAACTACCAGAGTGTCATTTGACATTTAGCCAACTGCATTTATACAAAATGCAAGCTTACGTTGGCATGCAAACACAAAAAAAATCACCTATTTGAAGGCCAGTAAAATTTCTCATTTTTATTGGTGGTCACAGGACTGAGTGCATGAGCTTTACTGCCATCATGTGACACATGCTCAAGTCACTGTGATATTTAGCTTGAGTGAAATAAAATGGTGCCATGAGAGCACAAGCATTTAAAGAGGCCATATCATTTATTATATTTTATTTGATTTTACTTATGTAATTTATTTTTCCCAGAACTACATTTGCCTATGCTTGTCTAGTGTTTTGTGCCAACAATCATTAAATTCACTTTTCATGGCCATTTTCCGAAAGAAGAGATGGCTTATTTTATTTTATTTTATTTTATTTTATGGAGTCTTTTTTAGAGCCCGACCGATATGGGTTTTTTGGGGCCGATACCGATATTAGGGAGTAAAAAAGGCCGATACCGATACTTTCCCATTCGTGTGTCCAAACATTTGACTGGTACTATATATAGAATACAGTATATACATAAACAGAATATATATACATAAACACTTTTTTTGCAATGATCACTCAAATGTGGTGATCAAACACTTATAATGGTGACTGTTAAATGTCCTTACATATCTCTATTTAACAATAAACTTGCGACGAGTGCCATGCACAAAGTAACGGGGTGTTAGTTGTAACACACGTGGTTTGAATATTTATTTTACCATAGTAACATTTAAATTCTGGCTTAAGTAAAGTTAATGAGACAAATCTGCTATTATTTTAATCTCCAATCTGTTAAAACAATTGTATATATGTATATATATATATATATATATATATATATATATATATGGCCTTGTCCCTTTAAACATATGCTAATAATGTGGAATCTGTAATACATAGTTTAGTTCCTGAACACTATTATTATTATTATGTGGTCATTCATCTAAAATCACAAAAATAAATAAATGTGGTTTGTTACTGAATAATGTTACCATGCCAGTGTACACAACACACTACAATCACTGGTGTGCAGAAATGGGGGAGTCCATGTGGGGGCTTGACGTTGGCAATATTTTTCTATCTTCCCTCCAGCAGTGCAGACAGACGGAGAGATCTGTGCTTCTTGAAAGTTTTGGCCTACGTAGAGCCTATTCTCTATAACTGCTGACTGCTTTAGTTTGCCGAAACAAATCAAAATGTCACCACTTTACTTTCAGTAAATGCTAGTTTAGTGTTCTATCTAATAAGGGTGTGGGTAGAATATGAAACCCTTTAAGATGGGTGGGAAGTTGGGAACCACTGAATTTAACATCCATTTTTGGTTTGGTTGTTTGTTTCCAGATCGAGCTGGCAGCATCAGTACATTGGACTCCTTGGATTTCGCCCGTTATTCAGATGATGGCAACAGGGAGTCAGACGAAAGAGTGGCAGGTAAGGAAAATCCTGCTGTCATATCTATCTATCTATATATAGAATTAATGACTACAGCGTGAGCACTCAGTCCTAATGATCATATTTGAAAATCACATGATTTTGCATACTACGATGGGACAGTTGGCTGCTAGTTAAATAAATTTTCCTCAGCCACAGTGACTGGTCATGTGGTTGGTTTTAAACACGTAAGTGTTCTTGAATTCCAACTTCGTGTCATACGATACTTTTAATAGTGGAAATCTTTAGTCTGTTTAATTTTAAACATTTTGCATGCACTTATCATATTAGACCACAATTGACAATAGGCAAATTTTCTGTTTGCTAATGCCCTGAATTTCCAAGAACACAATTCCGCAGTTACAGTACATGGCCATTTTTTAGGCAAAATGAGAAGGAATTGGCTTTACTGGACATTTTTCTGGAAACTATTAGTGGTTCAGTGGCTTGTGTTAAACTCTTTTATGAGAGGCGATTTGGTCAGTGTTACCGTATATGACACAAGATTCTTGGCATTCATGATTGATGTGAATTCACATGGGTCAAACTGTATGGTTCACTGACCGCTTTCATCAGCGGTCTGGTAGATGAGTGGTCTCTATAGATGAGTAGGAGGGTTAACTAATAGCCCGAACGCTAAACTTTTTGGTCTAATTGGGCTGTACTGACAATAACTATTTTGCTTTCCCATTTCTTTCCAAGCAAAAGGTTTTCTGGCTCTCAAGTTTCCTCTCTTGTCATTTCCCTATTTTGATACTTGCTTGGCTAGGTTGCCATACTGTTCCTTTAGCTTTTTCTGTTTCATTAGCTTGAGTCCCTCCCAAGCTTCAGATTCCTACATTATCCTGGCAGATATTTTTCAGACCGAAAAGTGTTGTTACTAATAATTCCTGTGAAAATTCACATCTCCTACCCTCTGCCAACATAAAAAAAACCTCCTCAGAGCTTAGCTGTCCACAAATATTTGTTGGCTACTGGTTTAACAGTGAAGTCAATGAATTGTTTACAAAGTATCAGCATTTCTGCTATCCAGGGATATATTTTGCTTGTGACCTTTTTAAATTAACTTTTTCTGATAGTAGTATTAAGGTCCGTTCTCACCAAGGCTGTATTTGAAAGCTTTGAATAAAACAAAGCAATTTTAATGTATGAGCTTATTTTATTTCTTTTAGATATTTTACAAAATCTTTTTTTTTTATTAAATTTTTATTTTATATTTTATTTATTCATTAGCTTTTCAGAAAATGAATTTTTTTAGTTGTAGTTAAAGTTGTTAAATATTACATAAAATTGTTTGTAAATATGTGACTTTGTCACTTTAGACTTGGTGAGAACAGGCCTATAGTGTAATAAATAAGCATTAAAGTAAATAAGAGCAAATACAAATTATAAATATATCTAATTGATTTTAGGTAATGGGTATTTTTCATGCGCTTTAAGGTTTTCTGTGCTTCTTATAAGTGTGATTTTGTTGAAAGTGAATTATGGGTAAGTAGAAAGCCTAAGGAACCGTGCAGCAGAATAAGATTGCTTTGTACAAAATGTCACTTTTGCACCCCAAATTGGGCATCTGCTCCCAAATCTTGACCCCTTCAGCGATGAGCACAGCCCTGGCTGTCTGACCTGGGGTTTATTGGCTGTCTGATGGGTCTCTATTCCAGTATTTCTCTTTCCAATACTGGACCACAAACCATCCAGGCAAGCACACCTTTGCCACCTCTTTTTTTTTTTTTTTTTTTTTTTTTTTTTTTTTTTTTTTTTCTTTTTTTCCCATTTTTTTCGCAAAAAAAAATGTTTTTTTTTTTTTTGCTTGTTCTTACATTTTTCCATGAGTTGATCAGCAGCATAAGTGTCTTTGTCCCATTTGAGGTCTGCTTTCTCTTAGCTTTTTCCTTCCCCCCCCATTCTTTTGAGTTTTTTTTATTTTATTTCTTTCTCTTGTGTTTGAATTCATCTTAATTTTTTTCCTTCCTTCTTTATCTGGCCCTGTTCGGGTAGATGGTGTTCCAGAAAACATTTTAGGAAGCAGAGCTTGTGGGAGTCCCACCTGCTTATCATCAGTGCACAGTCATGCAAAGTGTCCTGTGCTCTCCATGCTTCTGTTTCCTGGTGTCTCTCGGTGTGTCTTAATCCGTTTCCTAGTTCATACATACACTGCCCAAGGATTTCTAGGGCTGTCCTATGATCGCAGTTGTTCCAGTACACTGAAATGTTTGCTTCCTAGAATTGCATCCTAAAAATCGGTGAGAATCAGCTGATTTTTTAAATGTTATCCGATACCAGAAGAATATTGGTCATTACATGTTGTATTTTAATGCAAGATCATCAGTGTCCCAACTGTTAGAGGATCAAAGTGCTTCTGATCCCAAATTTGGTCTTCACAGTATGCTGATTCCCGTTTTAGAAATTAGCGAGCGGAAATGAGACACAGCCTACAGTGGGGTAGGCTGCGGGGTTTCGCATACACTAGTAAATTTTTTCCAATTGAACAACTGTTTTACAACAAAGATCAAATGCAAACAACAGGTGGTTTTTGCTTGTTCTTACATTTTTCCATGAGTTGATCAGCAGCATAAGTGTCTTTGTCCCATTTGAGGTCTGCTTTCTCTTAGCTTTTTCCTTCCCCCCCCATTCTTTTGAGTTTTTTTTATTTTATTTCTTTCTCTTGTGTTTGAATTCATCTTAATTTTTTTCCTTCCTTCTTTATCTGGCCCTGTTCGGGTAGATGGTGTTCCAGAAAACATTTTAGGAAGCAGAGCTTGTGGGAGTCCCACCTGCTGATCATCAGTGCACAGTCATGCAAAGTGTCCTGTGCTCTCCATGCTTCTGTTTCCTGGTGTCTCTCGGTGTGTCTTAATCCGTTTCCTAGTTCATACACTGCCCAAGGATTTCTAGGGCTGTCCTATGATCGCAGTTGTTCCAGTACACTGAAATGTTTGCTTCCTAGAATTGCATCCTAAAAATCGGTGAGAATCAGCTGATTTTTTAAATGTTATCCGATACCAGAAGAATATTGGTCATTACATGTTGTATTTTAATGCAAGATCATCAGTGTCCCAACTGTTAGAGGATCAAAGTGCTTCTGATCCCAAATTTGGTCTTCACAGTATGCTGATTCCCGTTTTAGAAATTAGCGAGCGGAAATGAGACACAGCCTACAGTGGGGTAGGCTGCGGGGTTTCGCATACACTAGTAAATTTTTTCCAATTCAACTGTTTTACAACAAAGATCAAATGCAAACAACAGGTGGATTTAGATTTTGGTGTATTTAGGATTTACATTGGTATATATTTGGGATTGTTAACTGAAAAGCTTTTTGTAGACCATCTAGTTTTATTTAAACAGAAGTGTGTAGTTATTTTTTGTCCATTTTAAATTACTTTCTCATATTCCAGCTTAGACACTAGTAAGCCATTCAAATATTGATTCCCATGAAAAGTCTCTATGGTGCTGCCAAAACATTTCTCTGCATCCTGAACGGGTCTAGCCAATGACGTGAGTTAGGGGTGGGGTAAACTGTTTCTAGTGTTGTCAAAAGTACCGACTTCGGTACAGTTGGTACTGAAATGTAAAAAAATGAGCAGTCAAATCAGCGGTGTTAAGAATCCACTCAAATGGTAGCGGGAAATGAACATTTTTTAAAGTGCCCCTATTATGCCATTTCCAATATTGCCTTTCATGCAGTGTGTAATGCAGCTGTATGTGAATATAAACGATCTGCAAAGTTGTATAGCTGAAAGTGCACGATAAATAAAGTTATTGTCTCCCAAAATAAAGAATTGACTCTGAACAGCTGAAACGAGTCGTTAGTAATTCGAATTCCACTTCTGTGACGGCTACACGTCACGGGATAACACATTTGCATAATGTGCGCCTATGTTCTACGTTGGCCGGCCGCGAACAACTTGACCCCACCCACAAACACGTCATTCTACTTACAACTGATTCTCTAATCTTGGCGAATTCAACGTAGGATTCACAAGACGCTTGCTGTTGAAAGATGTATCATAGTCCTGTTTATTTGGACCAGCTGTTCCACTGAATCACAACCTGTAAGTATGATAAATAATAGATGTTTATATTTTCTATAGACCATTCAAAATACAGAACTATTGAAATAGGCGTATCGTTTCCGAAACGCGCTGTACGTCGTAGACCAATCACAACAGACTTGGCCATCTGACCAATCAGAGCAGAGCAGGCTCACGGAAAGGAGGGGTTTAGAGAGACTGAATCTTTGAACTGCTTCGAACGAATCGTTTGAGAATCGCTGGAAAATGAGGTGAAATTAAATGCATATTTTGAGAAAATGAAAGCGTTTTTTTGACCTTGCTTGCATGTAATCCTATTGTAGGAGATTCCCAAAACTATATTAGGAACCGTAAAAATGGCATAATAGGGGCACTTTAAATTTCAGTACCGACTGGTACCAAAGTTGGTACTTTTGACGATGATTAGGCCCATCCCAAATGGCACGGTTTACATTTTGTTGTCTGCTAATGTAGACTTGATGTTGGCGCACAATTTTGCAACCCAAAATGACAAACAGGACTCCCTTTGGTCATGTGAACTTTATGGACACATGTAAGCGATTGCTGCTAGATGGCAAATGAACTTAAAGTACACTATTTAGGACAGGCCATATAATTTGCAACTCTTTGATGACGCTAGAGGCACAGAAATTACACACTTTAGCTTTAAAGTCAAAAGGAATTTGACGATCTAAAGGAACTTAAAAAATTGTGAAATATTTAATTTTTTTTACCGTTCATCCAAACAAACAAACAGACTTTGATTTTCTCTAAATCCCTGGTCAGACAGCAGCTAGTGAATTTGCGAGAAAAGAAAACCCGAAGGAAAATAAATGTGTAAATATTTTCATGATCTGGCATCTCCTCCAGCAACCTCTGCTGCATGTGTTCATTAGATCCATAGCGTGCATGTCCCTGTTTTGGTTCTGCCTCAGCTTCTTACAAAAGTTGTTTTTTCTTTTCTTTCTTTTTTGTTTTTTTTTGTTTTTTCATGGCCATCCTTTGTTCTTTTTTCCCCCTTTTGTTTTGTTTCTTTGTTCCCCTCTCTTGGTTGGATGCCTGTTTGTGTGTGACCCACTTCCCCCTGGTCCAGTTCTGGAGTTTGAACTGCGGAAAGCCAAGGAGACCATTCAGGCTCTTCGTGCCAACTTGACTCAGGCTGCAGGTGGCGTACTTTCAACTTTTACACACTTCAGTTCCTTCTGCTATAGGAGCTGCTCTCATTCCTAAAGGCAGTTTGTAATGTCCACCATAAATCAAATTCCAGCTCACTCGTTTTTCTTTCTCTCTGTTTCTTTCTTTCTTTCTCTCTGTGTAGAATGTGAGATTCCTTCTCAAGAGAGAAAAAACTACAAATCCAGTCCTGAAATTCAGGTTACCCTACTTTTCATTTTTTTCTCTCTCTCTCTAATAAGCTCATTATGAACAATTAGTTTGAATCAATCTACATGATCTTAATTTTTTCCAATAATTTTTTTCAGGAACCTATTCGCCCTCTTGAAAAGAGAGCCTTACATTTTTTAGTTAATGAGTATTTATTGAAAAATGAATATAAGTTAACGTCCATCACATTCTCAGATGAAAATGATGATCAGGTAATATTTTATGAATTCCTTTTATACATTAATTATTCAATTTAGTATTTTATTTCTTTCTAGTACTTATGATATTTTATATTGGCAGGATTTTGAGTTGTGGGATGATGTGGGTCTAAACATTCCCAAACCTCCAGACCTATTGCAGCTCTACAGGAACTGCGGGAACAGCCTGCCGTTGCATCGGGATACTGTGGATGTGGCGGTCAATGTAGACCCAAATGACTTGCCAGGAGACTATTTTACCCAGGAACCTGTGCAGCAAACTGAGGCTATACAGGTATTTACATATAGGAAGAACTGTTTACAGGAACATAGTTTTCCAATTAATTCTGTTTAAGCCTTTATTCTGAAGTAAAATTCTGATTAATGGCATATGATAACTTATTTTAGTCACTTTCCTAAAACGTGGTATATTGGTTTAATCCGATTAAGGCCATCAGGTTAATGCATTTACATGGCTCTCAAATCCTAGTAACCCCATGTCAAATATCTATTCAAAAGGGATTTTTGATTAAACATGCTGCTCTAGGGTCTAAAATGTGATTTAGAGTGGTCTTGGGTTTCTCTGGTCAAAAATATGCCAACTTTTAAGTCATTTCAATGTTATCCGCAGCAGCAGCAAGAGGAAGTGATTCAGGAGCTGGAATATCAGATCAGCCTGCTGAACAGTGAGAAACAGAGTCTGGCTGAACAGATTAAAAAGCTCCAAAGGTAAGAGTCATTACCTGCTGCCTGTGGGCCAAATTCAATCAGAACCATCAGAAACCTGCTGGTGAGCCTGTATAATCAGAGCTCAGAGCAGCGACCTGTGATTACTGTCATAATTAATATCTGCAGGGTCTGATCTCGTCAGCTGCTGTTTATAAAAATCATATAAAAAATTTTTTTTCTGTAGTTTATTAGTCACGATTCCCTATGATTTTGATGCCGATCAGTTAACCTGCTAAACTAATATGTCACTAAACCATATTTTGTTATAATTATATGGAAGTAACATGTACTGGATATTATACCATATAACAACAATACCATATTTAGTTATTTAAAACTAATATAGTTTTTTAATTGTCAAAGCGTATATGTGTTATAGGATTTTATTTATACATTTATTATTATTATTATTATTTGCATTTACATTTAGTCATTTAGCAGACGCTTTTATCCAAATTGACTTACAAATGAGGACAATGGAAGCAATCAAAATCAACAAAAGTGTAATGATATGCAAGTGCTATAACAAGTCTCAGTTAGCCTAACGCAGTACACGTAGCAAGGTCTTTTTAAAATTATATAATAAATAAAAAGCAAACCGATAGAATAGAAAATAATAATAATAATAATAATAATATAGCAAGCTAGTGTTAGAGGCCTTTTATGCTTTTGTTAATTGTATAATAAATAAAAAGAAAACAAATAGATAGAATACAAAAAGTTAGTGCATTTTTTTCTTGAAGAATAGAAGTTAGAGGGACAAATAAAGATGGAAGAGATGTGTTTTTAGCCGATTCTTGAAAATGGCTAAGGACTGGGATTGAGTTGGGCAGGTCATTCCACCAGGAGGGAACATTTAATTTAAAAGTCAGTGAAAGTGATTTTGTGCCTCTTTGAGATGGCACAATAAAGTGACGTTCACTTGCAGAACGCAAGCTTCTAGAGGGCACATATCTCTGAAGTAATGAATTTAGGTAAAGGGGTGCAGAGCCAGTGGTGGTTTTGTAGGCAAACATTAATGCCTTGAATTTTATGCAAGCAGCTATTGGTAGCCAGTGCAAATTGATGAACAGAGGTGTGACGTGCAATCTTTTCGGCTCATTAAAAATTAAAAATGCTGCTGAGTTGTGGATTAATTGTAATTATTATTGAATGCGTCAACCACACAAACCACACTACTGTTCAGAAATTTGAAGATGGTCATCACCAATGCTGAGTTTATTTGCTCAAAATTACAGTAAAATCGTAATATTGAAATATTATTACAATTTAAAATTATGTATTTTAATATATTTTTTAAATGTTAATCATTTCTGTGATGGCCAAGCAGAATTTTCAACGTCATTACTTCAGTCTTTAGTGTCACATGATCTATCAGTAATCATACTACTATGCTGATGTGGTGAATGTACTGCATATATATATATGTGTGTGTGTGTGTGTTTATAGACATTTTAGAATTCTTCAATAAATAAAAAGTAAAAAAACAGCATTTATTTTAAATATAATTTTATTGTAAAATTATAAATATTATAAACTGTCAATTTTGATCAATTACCAGCATCCTTGCTAAATAAAATAAAAAATCTTATTGACCCCAAACTTTTGAAATTAGTGAAATATATATTGTGAAATTACTGGTATTTTCAATTTGTGTGTATATTATTTATATACCCACCCAGTGTCTTTTATGACTCCAGTAGTCTAATGCTGTGTTTTCAAGCGCTCTAGAAACTGTCCTCCTCCCCCTCCAGCTCAATACACTCTCATCATTATGACCTTCTGCTCTCTGACATTTTTCAGCATGACATTTACGTTTCCTAGCAAGAGATGAGCTCTACATATCTTTTTTTTTAAACTAGTTTTGTTTTAATTCATACTTTATCTTCTCTGTCTCTTTCTTCACTGTTCCATCTGTTTGCTACAACACTACTGTATATTCACTTCTATACTTGCATTTCAGCATTTTAGTGCATTTTGCACATCACTAAATGTAATATATGTACCTTTGTGTGTGTGTAGTGATATCCAGGCGCTTCAGAGGAATGTTTCATCAGAACCCACATCTAAAGAAGACTCTCCATGTGGTAAACCCCCCCTAGACAATGGACAATATTTGGATATACGAGGGGTCACAGAAACTGACAGCTCCTCGGATGCCAACACTACAAAGACCTCAGCCACTACTGCTACTACTGACTGCACTGAAAGCACCACTACTGCTACACAACCTCACAGCAAACTAAAGTCTCAGAGTCAGCAGGTTAAAACCTCTGTGCAATTTGACCAGCCCAACAGGTGAGAACCTGCGCTTCTTTATTGCAGTGGACACTCTTATGATATAAAAAAGGAGTTGATGAGATGCACAGATACATAAAAAAACTTCTATTAGAAGTGAAATCTTAGTGAGCTTTCTATTTAGGCCATATTTTCGGTGTAATAGTCACTCCTAATATGAAAGCTTTCCAAACATTAAGCTGCAAACTAGCCGTCATAGAGCTTTGATTATTTGAATGGTTGCTGTAGTGTTGCTTTATGGTTTCTGATATGTTTTAATTGGTTGCTAGGGCATTGGTAGGTGGTTGCAAGGGTGGTTACTAGGTGGTTGTATACCATTCCAACACAAAGGAGTCAAATTCCATGTCTCTATGATTTTCTGGTTGGCGTTAGTAAGATTTTTGAAAATATTTTTAATGCTTTTTTTAATTAGTTAATATATTTGGTTACACTTTATTTTAAGGTGTCCTTGTTACAGTGTAATTATACATTTAAGTTCTGAGTAATGTTAATTAACTACATGTACTTACTATATGGTTAGGATTAGGTTTAGGGTTACTTGTATGTAATCATGCATAATTTATTGTTATTATAATAGTAAGTACATGTAACATGTAACAAGGAAACCTTAAAATAGAGTTGTACCTTATATTCTATTAAACAAAGAATCCTGAAAAACAAATAATGGTTTCCACAAAAGCTCTAAGCAGCACAGCTGTTTTCAACATTGTCAACCGGGTTATTATAGGTAACTAAATATATTTGTATAATAAAAATGTTTATTAATTATATTACTATAAAAAAGTAATAATTATTATTTTGATTTCAATTGCTAAAACAACGTTTTTCACTTTAACTAAAATATCTAAAACTGAAATAATGAGTTTATCTCAGTGATACTAAAATTACATTTATTAATAATACAAAGAAATGTTTCTTGTGCACCAATCAGTATATTCAAATGATTTCTGAAGGATCATGTGACACTGAAGACTGGAGTAATGGCTGCTAAAAATTCAGCTTTGTCAGGAATAAATTGTTTAAAATAAAGTAAAATAGAAACCACTTGTTTTCAATTTTAAAAATATTTAAAAATATTACTGTTTTTTCCTCTGTTTCTAATCAATTAAATGCAGTCTTGGTGAGCATAAGAGACTTATTTCAATAGCATGAAAAAATCTAACCAGCCCCAAACTTTTGAACAGTAGTGTACAAGTCTGAAGGATTTTTTTTATTGTTTGTTTTATTGCCTGCCAGATGGAAACTCAACAAGTCAGCTACTGAAAAAGTTAACAGTTAGCGTTGCTCAAGTAAATGATGCCCATGAAAAGTATTTCATATGAGTCATTTAAAGGGCTAGTTCACCCAAAAATGAAAATTCTGTCATTAATTACTCGCCCTCATGTCGATCCAAACCTGTAAGACCCTCGTTCATCTTCGGAACACAAATTAAGATATTTTTGATGCCAGCAAGGATTTAAAATAAAGTAAAATAGAAACCACTTGTTTTCAATTTTAAAAATATTTAAAAATATTACTGTTTTTTCCTCTGTTTCTAATCAATTAAATGCAGTCTTGGTGAGCATAAGAGACTTATTTCAATAGCATGAAAAAATCTAACCAGCCCCAAACTTTTGAACAGTAGTGTACAAGTCTGAAGGATTTTTTTTATTGTTTGTTTTATTGCCTGCCAGATGGAAACTCAACAAGTCAGCTACTGAAAAAGTTAACAGTTAGCGTTGCTCAAGTAAATGATGCCCATGAAAAGTATTTCATATGAGTCATTTAAAGGGCTAGTTCACCCAAAAATGAAAATTCTGTCATTAATTACTCGCCCTCATGTCGATCCAAACCTGTAAGACCCTCGTTCATCTTCGGAACACAAATTAAGATATTTTTGATGCCAGCAAGGATGTTTACATTATCAAAGCTCAGAAATGTAGCAAGGAGATCGTTACAATAATCCTTGTGACATCAGTGGTTCAACCGTAATTTTACGAAGCTAAGAGAATACTTTGTGTGCAAAGTAAACAAAAATAACGACTTTATTCAACAATTCATCTCCTCCGTGTCACACTATAGCGCCATTTTGGAGAGTATCACATACGTAAACAACGTATGCTGTTCTGTGTCAGCACCACCGTACGCAGATACACTGTTTATGTTGTTTTCACTTTGATCTGAACGTAAATAATGTGTCCGCGTACATACGTTGCATACGTTGTTTACTTACGTGATACTCTCCAAAATGGCGCTATAGGGTGACGTGGAGGAGACGAATTGTTGAATAAAGTCATTATTTTTGTTTTCTTTGCACACAAAAAGTATTCTTGCAACTTTGTAAAATTATGGTTGAGCCACTGATGTCACATGGATTATTTTAACAATCTCCTTGCTACGTTTCTGAACCTTGATTGTGTAAGATTTCTTGCTGTCTGTGGGAGGGTTTGGAACAACATGAGGGTGAGTAATTAATGACAGAATTTTCTTTTCTTTTCATTTTTGGGTGAACTATCCCTTTAAGAGTCAGTAACCTATTCTCTTTGGATTTTATTTTAGACTGTAAACAATAAGGCAGCCCTCCCATTTTTTTTAACATGGCTGTTATGGCACTAGATGGCAGCACTGCATTAAGCACCATTGCAGTCCTCGTCAAGTCGTACTGCAGTGCTGACTGGCTCCATATATTCCATTCATCATCATTTTGCACATCTGCTCCGAATGGACTTTTACCCCACGAGGCTGATTCAGACAAATGACCCTCTCCTTGTTTTGACTGTTCCTATATTAGCATTTTGCTCTGTGCTGTGGAAAGCTGGGCTAATATGTTGAGTTATTGGTAACCGGAGGTGGAGGTGGATTGTTAAATCATGTTTTGTTTGCTTGTGCAGAAAGCTGTCTCCGGCCTTCCACCAAGCACTTTTGTCCTTCTGTCGAATGTCTGCTGACAGTAGGCTGGGCTCAGAGGTGAGTGGGATCGAATAGCATACAGGTCGAGCCGACTGTTGCTATAGTAACGAACGCAACTTTCATCGCACAAGCTCTTTACTTTCAGTTTTCATTCTTACATTCAGCATTAACGGCAAGCCGTAAGCTTTCAACTTAACTGTATAGCCTACATGCATTTTAGACGCTTATATTATGCTCTAGCCCCGTCCATGCAATGAATGCACGTTATTGAATGAGCGGGATTTTTAGAACATTAAAATTGCTCAGATAAATTCAGTGGTAGGCTATGATACATATTCATGTAGCCTATTACAGTGGTTCCAAACCCTGGTCCTGGAGGCACCCCAACACTGCACATCTTGCATATCTCCTTTCTCTGACACACCAATTTCAGGTCTTGGAGTCTCTACTAATGAGCTGATGATCTGAATCAGGTGTGTTTGATTAAGGAGACATGCAAAACATGCAGTGTTGGTGTGCCTCCAGGACCAGGGTTGGGAACCACTGGCCTATTAAACTCCCAGTGATAGCGTGCAAATATTTCTGCCCATTTTCGCTCGTTGTCATGCCTCTGCTTTTCTGCAACAGACTGAAGCCACGTGAATTCAGTGCGCCTTGCATTGAGCAAATAAAAGAAAAATGGTGGAAGAGAAACAATTTTCTGGTGTTATTTTATTATTGTTGGGGCAGTCTCCAGCTATATCTTAAACTTCTCAAAATACAGTCCGCTTCAGATTGGTTTTAATCACTGCATAAAAAAAATTAACACAGTCTTTATCTAATTCTGATTGGATGGGCAAGATAGTCATTTGGGTGGGCTCAGCCCACCCCTGCCCATGTCTGGAGCCGGCCCTGGTACAAAAGCACAAGCACATGTAGAGTCTACTTGTTGTGACAATCAGAGAGATAGTTCATCTAAAAATCAGTCAGTCAGTCAATATTTACTCACCCTCATGTGCTTTCAAACCAGTATGACTGACTGACTTTCTTATATGGAGCACAAAAGGAGAATTGTTTTAACTTTTGAATTGGATGTGCAGTTACAGTGAATATGGCCTGCAGCTTTTAAGGTTAAAAAGGTTGAAAAAGCACCATAAATGTTTCATTAAAAAGCTTTATATGACTCATGCATTGTATTCCTGTAAATCTTCTGAAGCCATACAATAGCTTTGTGTGATAAACAGACCAAATACGTAGTTATTCACTGAAAATCCTGAGATCTGTCCATGAACTCGAAGTAGTAGTAGCCATTTTTATTTCTTGAACAAATCTTTCAAAATGTCATGATTTTTTTCAAGTCATCATTCTTTCAAAACTTTCGAAAGTCAAATCTGTTGCGGTTTTCAATTGATCCGGCTCACGAAACCAAGTCTGAATGATTTCTTCATGGATCAAAATGATTTAGGGTTTATAAATCTAAAAGTTTAAAAAATAATTTTCAGACATTGACAAAGCAGTAATTAAAATAAATTAGTGCTCTCAAACGATTAATCGTGATTAATCGCATCCAAAATAACAGTTTTTGTGTACATAATATATGTGTGTACTGTGTATATCTATTATGTGTATATATAATTGCACATACAGTATATTCTGAAAATATTTACACACACATATATATATATATATATATTTATATTCATATAATTTATATTATATATGAATTAGGGCTGCACGATTTATCGAAATATCGCAAATGTAAATATCGCAATATGCATATCGCAACGGCGTGCAATATCATTATCATTTTAATAATAGGCTACTTAAATCAAAACGTTGCAAAAGGTCAAAGTTTTAGTTCGACGCATATAGCAGAGAATTGCTTAACGATAAAAAGAGTTATTAACTGCAATAAGTTTCAGAAAACAACTCTTTGCCATCTCGTCTTGCTGTCTGACAGACTCACACCTGAAGTGCGCGCACAAGCCGCATCTCACACAGTTCTGCCGCACACGTGCAAAGCTCGCGCACACTCAGAGAGACGCGTTTCAGACCAAGTTGATTCGTCTTTTGCATCTCCTCCTTATGTTTGAACAGACACATACATACAGAATTATGTCAATAGTACCCGTCTCGACGATCATTCTCGTAAACGCAGTCAGTTATGTTTTAAATGAATGTAAACAGCTGAGAAAGAAATCGGATGTGTATCATTATACTGGATCCGTGCAGTCGGATTTAAAGGGACAGCAGCCTATAAATACGTGCTGCTGAATATGTCACTAATGTTAACAAAACGGCTATAACAAAGATTAATCTAAATTTAATTCATGCTGTTATTTTACACTTAATTATTAAATTTCTGTACCTGAATACTACTGTTTATTTTATCTATGCTTGTAAATTGTGTATTTCTTTTTTTTTTACTGACTGTTCACTTGCCTTTAATCATGTTTGAACTTTCTCAGACTATAGTTTTTGCTGTGGTATATGAAGAAGTACTTAAAGTTTGTGGAAAGCAAAGTTGCAATGATATAAAAGTAGTGTCATTAATTTTTTTGTTTGTATGTTCACATTGATGTTAAATTACATTTTCTGATTTGTGACATTACTTTTTAAGTAATGCTAAAACATTGCTGGTCCCTTTCAGAAGTTATAGTGATTCTTTATTTTGAATGTGAATAAGAATGTGAGAAAAATTGGTTATATAATTTAAATTTTTTAATATTTTAAAATATCATTTAAATTGATTTTACACACTTTAAGCAATATCATATCGCATATCGAATATCGCATTTTTTTTACAAGGTATCGCATTTTTCTTCAATATCGCACAGCCCTATTTTGCTGTGGTATATGAAGAAGTACTTAAAGTTTGTGGAAAGCAAAGTTGCAATGATATAAAAGTAGTGTCATTAATTTTTTTGTTTGTATGTTCACATTGATGTTAAATTACATTTTCTGATTTGTGACATTACTTTTTAAGTAATGCTAAAACATTGCTGGTCCCTTTCAGAAGTTATAGTGATTCTTTATTTTGAATGTGAATAAGAATGTGAGAAAAATTGGTTATATAATTTTAATTTTTTAATATTTAAAAATATCATTTAAATTGATTTTACACACTTTAAGCAATATCATATCGCATATCGAATATCGCATTTTTTTTACAAGGTATCGCATTTTTCTTCAATATCGCACAGCCCTAAAAATATATTTAATATATAAACATAACATGTTTTTCTTAAATATATACATGCATGTGTTTGTATTTGTATACACATAATAAATATACACAGTACACACATATATTATGTAAACAAACTTTTATTTTGGATGCAATTAATCGTTTGATAGCACTAAAATAAATATAAATATTAGATAAAAAACAAAAATGTTGCTTTGGCAATTAAGTGGAAAAAGTGAGTTTGTTGAAATTGAAGCACTAAAACTAAAAATGGAAAATGAAATAAAATCCTGTGAAATTTGAGTGAAAAGTTAAATATAAAAATATGCAAAAATACATAAATTAAAATCGATTCATATTAAAATATAAAAAATCCTAATACAAAGTATTAATAAGATCTATAATATAGAAAAAAAAGCTAAAATAATAATTAATGCTATCATATGGCTTCAAACTTAGAAGTCATACAGGTTTGAAACATAATTTTTGAGTAAACTCTTCCTTTAACGATTATGACCAGTCATTAGAATAGAAAGAAGTGCACTGGAAGCGGTTCAGTTGCTTTCAGAATGACCAGGAATGCATTAATAGGCACGTTTGAGAGGTCTCGGAGTTCATAGTGTCTTCTATGTCCAGATTACAAAAGCAGAAAAGGTTCTCGGGTTGCAGTTATGCAGTACTTTTTAGGCACGTGTGATTAAATGAAATGTCTGACATGTTTGCCTCTGCTTGCTTTTATGTGGCGACATTTTTGTGCCTAATTCCCATGTCCTCGTTTCTCAGGTGTCTCGAATAGCTGACAGCGAGCAGAGCGTCATGCTCATGCTGGGCCGCTGTCTGCCACACATCGTACCCAATGTCCTGCTGGCCAAGCGAGAGGTAACCCATGACCTTTTGACCCAACAGTCCCACCTCATCTTCCATGTCCACTGCAGCTGGCCTCTCCCTCTCATTCTATTCTTAATTCAACGTTGACTCTAATTATTTTTTTTCCATTGCAGTTGTGTGTGTGTGTGTCTCTCTCTCTCTCTGTATATATACCCCAAACCCAATCCATCTCTCTTTTGTTCTGTTCACTCATTTCTTCTCTTGCTTTTGTGCATGCATCTCACTGCTCCGATAGAGAATGGTTGTGCACCTCTGTCAGGTGAGTGGAACACATCGGCACATTCTCACATCAGCCCTGCTTCCTTCACCATGCGTGTGACCTTTGACCTTTCAGTTGGCTTGGCTTTTCATCAGCTTCCTTAGTTGTCAGTGGCTCAAATGCATTATTTCTTTTTTATTGATTGATTATTTTCAACTGTGAACTTTTGCTTTGTACTGAACTTCTAAACCGATAAAGCTCTAAATGTAATTTTTCAGACTAATAAGGTAAACTAATTCACAGCAATAATCTGTAATTAATTAAGAATTGTATTATTATTTGTAATATTAGTATTACTAGTAGTTAATAATGATATATATAAACAATGTTTTATTTAAGTAATGTTTTTCTGAAGTGTATATACAATCACTTTTTTTAATCATCTGAACTTTTTTATGATATTTTTTGTCATATTTATGATAAAGTGAATACTGCAAAACAAGCAATACATACAAAACTGGTAAAATAGCAAAATAAGGGCAAATATTTGACAATGGAGTAGTAATGGTTTATTATTGACCACCATTAAATTATTATTGGTGCTTTTATATTTTAGTTTCTTTCAGCTTTGTCAAAATTATGTTTTAAAATGTCTTTATTTTTTTGGAAAACATAACAGAAAAATATTGATGGCTAATCTTGCACTCAGGTATTCTGCCCCACTGCAAAAAAAGGATTTTCTTACTTAGTATTTTTGTCTTGTTCATTTTTGCTTAAAACAAGAAAAATATCTGCCAATGGGGTAAAAACAAACAAAAAAATCTTGTAAAAAGTAAAAAACTGATTATTTTTCTTGCCCCATTTGCAGATATTTTTTCTTGTTTTAAGCAAAAACTCACTTAAATTTGATAAATTTTTTAGAAAACAGAGCTTAATATCTTGTCTTTATGCTTTTCAAGTAAATGTGTCTTGATTTAAGAATGTTGCAATATTTGAAACAAGGCAAAAATACTAAGTAAGAAATAAATTTTTTGCAGTCTTGCGTTCATAAAAAGGTGGCAATGGAAACAAATTGCAACATCGTTCAGTGAATATATAGTTGATTTTGTAGTTAACTAAAACATTTTGTTAGCTTAATAAAATTGTTAATAATAATCAAAATATAATATTTTTCTGGAGATAAATATAGTTAATTAGTCCTTAGCCGTTTACAGTTGTTGTCACCGGTGTGCAGATATATATTTTACAACAACTTCAAACATTGCTTGACGAAAAAAAGTGTATTCTGAACTTTGTTTTATAAATAGTGAGTAGCTTTATATTTTTTAAAAAAAACTAAATAGCAATTTCAGACGAATAACTCCAAGTTAAACTTTTGACAGCCAAGCCAATGGAACATTTCTATGCTGTGACTTTTCTGTGCTTCAGGCTGCAGCTATTCAGTATGAAACCTTGTTCAATTGTTTTCTTTGCCCCCCTATTACAGAGCTGATTTGGTTTAAATGACTACACTTTTAGAAAAAAACACAAGGTACATGCACACATTGCACATCTGTTGAGAGCAGACCCAAAGGTGTGTACCGTTCCAAGCAAGTTCCACAGCATTTCCCTCGTCGGGCCCCTCTGATTTGCATAGGGCAGTTGTGTTTTACGGGAGACAGGTGACAGTTTAAGATGGATTGGATGCTTTCCAGGCTGAAGTCGGGTGAAAGCAAACACCACACGAGGAGTAGAGATTGCCTCGCTAAACTGGACTTTGAGCTTTGCCTGCTAATTCTGTTGGCTTCGTAACCTTCTTCCTTGAATTCAGACACACACTCACTCTAACACACCCTCAGTTTTTCCCCATCTGGTGCAGAACAATTACTAATCAGGCGCTGCTGGAACACCTGCCTTACAATATAATTCCTGTCACCTGTACACCTACAAGAACTTTATAGTAAAGATAAAGTCTTTCGGAATTAAAGGCCATTCAAGTTATTGATTACCATGTAAAACTGATAAGACATCAGGTACACTGTGTGTTTGCAGCAGTCCAAAATTCTTCATGTGAGTGTATTTCTGATTGGGCCTCTTTGCTTTCTGCTGGTAATTATCTTGATTCAATGAGTCAATGCAGGCTGATGGTATAACTGAAAATTTGCATATAAATACCAGTTTTCATGGGAAACAATTTGGAGTGACAAGGAATCCAAACGTGCAAGTTCTTGTTTTGTATTTTTCCTTTTTTGTTTAGATATTGAGAACAGATTTTATTTTTTGCATTTTTGCCAACAAAAATGTTTGGACACTTCATGCCACAAACAAATGTTATTGCATTTGATTAAAAAATATCAAACAAATAGGCGTTTATTGTAAATAAAGTTTGACAAGCAAAATGCATTACAAAGCCATTTTATTTATAAATTATAACTCAAAAAACATTTTTTTATTAATAATAAAACAATATTCATTGTTATAACAAAAATATAAAAAAATTATTTTTCAAAATTACAAAATAATGGAAAGTCATGGTAAATTCATGGAAAATCGTTGGACAAAGTGTAAGAACCCTCTAGAACCCTCTGTTTTTTTATTTTTTGTTATTTAAGCAAATAAGATTTTATTATTTTTAGTGTAGTTTAGTTTTAGTTTTATTTATAGTTTAAACGGGGCCTAAATACAATTATAAGTAGTGTTTTTTTGTTTGTCTTTGTTTTGTTTTTAGCAAAATGCACCACCGAAAGACATTCATAAATTGTAAAAAAAAAACTAAAAAAAAAACATATATATATATATATATATATATATATATATATCCCCCACTGTATGTATGTATATATATATTTATTTATTAATTACAAAACAAAATACAGTGTTATAACAAAATATTTAATAAATTAATATTTATTGTTTTGGTCAATTTATGGAAATTCTTTCGTCAAAGTGTCAAAACCATCTAGAATCATTTGATATTTTTTTGTTTGATGTAATGAGAATTGTATGTTTTTTATTTTATTATTTTATTTTCCTTGGAAAAATCATCTGTTTGGTAAAAATGTATGGACATTCTTTGGTCAAAGTTTCAGAACCGTTTTTTTTTTTCATTATCAAGCCATAAAATCCAGTTAAAAATAATGATTTTTTTTTTCCAAATAGCTTTTGGAAAAGTTCAAAAGTTTGAAAAGGCCAAAAAAAAAATTGTAATCGTAAAAAAAGATCATGGGAATGTCAAGTTATAAAAATTATTTTCCCGACAGAAATATTGAAAATCCAACAGTAAATGGGAAAGTCATAAAGCAAAAATCTAGTGCTGTCAAACGATTAATCGGATCCAAAATAAAGGTTTTTGTTTACGTAATATGTGAGTGTGTACTGTGTGTATATATAATTACAAACACATGCATGTATATATTTAAGAAAACTTTTGTTTATATATTAAACATATTTATATATAATATAAAATATAATAATATATAAATGTGTATACTGTACATGTAAATATTTTCAAAATATATACTGAATGTGTGTGTATTTATATATATATACATAATAAACAAACACTGTACACATACATATATTATGTAAACAAAAAAGTTTATTTTGGATGCGATTAATCTCGATTAATCGTTTGACAGCACTACAAAAATCGTGTGTGTTGTGTGGAGCAAAAAAACAGTCATAAGGGTCAATTATTTGAAATTGAACAAAAATTGATACACGATAATCTTTCCATTGATGTATGGTTTGTTAGGATAGGACAATATTTGGCCGAGATACAACTATTTGAAAATCTGGAATCTGACGGTGAAAAAAAATTTGTCCAAATGAAGTTCTTAGCAATGCATATTACTAATCAAAAAATAAGTTTTGATATATTTACAGTAGGAAATTTACAAAATATCTTCATGTAACATGATCTTTACTTATAATATCCTAATGATTTTTGGCATAAAAGAAAAATCTGTAATTTTGACCCGAACAATGTATTGTTGACTATTGCTACAAATATACCTGTGCTACTTAAGACTGGTTTTGTGCTCCAGGGTCACATATATAAATAAATACAGTCAACCACCTTCAACATTTCTCACATTGTCTCAGTTTACTAATTTTGATGCTTAATTTTGTACAATCTGTGGTGTAAAAAGGTTGCATTAGCAGTTAAAGAAAAAACACTTAAGCAAAACATGGTCAGGTCAAACTGTCTGAATAATTTTATGTGAAATAAATTTCGCTGGTAGTCCACTGTATGAAGAATATTTAGGTGTAATTCAGTATGTTTACTTTATTTTGCTATCCTCACTTACATAGATAGATAGATAGATAGATAGATGTCATATTTGTTAACATGTTTGGAAATGTGTTTTTACTTAATAAAGATGCCATGCTTTTTAATAAATAAATAAATAAAAATGCTAAGTGACATTGAATTACAGTTTTTAATTGATTCAGTGAATTGACCAACTCTAACGTTGTCTAAATCTGTAAGTGCTGTCAAACTCGAGAATTGTGAGATCATGAGAATTGACTGTTTTTAAGAAAATTAATATCCAAATCACTTCACTATACAGTGTTTCTAAATATTGTAGCACCAACAACATAGTTGCAAACATGCCGTGAATATCCGATATATCACCCAGCCCTTGTTGGTGCTGTAGTTGAGTGGCTTTGTGGTGAAGATGTTTCTTCAATAGAGAAGTTTTTTCTTTCCCCTATATCCTCAAATACCTGCTTGCTGAAGTTCCCTGTCCGAGCCCTTTGGGACTCAGCGGATGCATGTGTGTGTTTATTTCCCTGTGCATTGCATATTATATGACCTGCGTTCCTGTGTGTGTCCACAGGAGTTGATTCCTCTCATTCTGTGTACGGCCTGCCTGCATCCCGAGCCCAAAGAAAGAGACCAGCTACTGCACATCCTCTTTAATCTTATCAAGAGACCTGACGATGAGCAGAGGTGTGTGCGCATTTGGGCATCTGCGCATGTGTAAACTGACCAAAAAAAATCGGTTTTGTTATGAGTTTGATAACACTCTGCTGTAATCTTCCTCTCCAGGCAGATGATTCTGACCGGGTGTGTGGCATTCGCCCGACATGTGGGTCCCACTCGGGTGGAAGCTGAACTCTTGCCACAGTGCTGGGAACAGGTTAGTTCTGAACTCGTACACACACTCGCCACATAAAAAAACTAGTGAAAAAAGCAGGAATTTCTTTGTAGGCACACTCTGTCATTCACACAAACCAAATGGTCAAAACAAAATTGTGTAACATCCTATGAACTTTTTTTATCAGTACATCTGTAATAGTTTTCATATGTGAAAAGGTTAGCCAATCAAAGCATGGCTGATTTACATATAGAAGATGCAGTGGCACAATAAACTACTGTTTATCAGGGTTAGAGGAAGTGTAATAATGTCATGGAAAACTGCATTTATAACTATTTTTGGTGTCAAAAAAACATTACATAGAAGTAAAAAAGTACTACGCAAGTGTAGAATATGGTGAATAAAGTGGTCTCAAATGTTTTTGGACATTTAAGTCACACTTAAATATTTTTTAGAATTTTTAGCTTTTACTTGATCAGTTTCAAAAAAAATTTATCTTTTTGGAATGGGTTATTAGAATATTTTTTTAATGGAATATTGGAATCTATTTAGAATGGAGTCTTAATAGAATATTTTAACCTTTTTACATTGAAATCTTTATAATGGAAGATTTTAACCTTTTTACAGTGGAATCTATGTAACAGAATTTTTTTATCTTTTTACAATAGCATCTTTGAATCTATTTAGAATGTAATCTTGATAATAGAATATTTGAACCTTTTCGAAAAGAATTTGTTCAACTTTAAAATCAAATATTTAATAAATAAAAAAATCTTTATATTTAAATCTCTTGAAATGGACTTAAAGACTTTAGTAATTAGATTTCTGTGGACATAGTGAACATAATTGAATATTAAATTTTTTTTTTAATACTTTTAAGTCTTTTAAGATTGTTTTTGTTATTAGATAAATACAGAAAAAATGCATAATAATTTAATTATAAATAATTTATTTATTTTTCTTTCAACCTTTAAAAAAGTGCCTTTAAAGGTGGTTAAAGGGATAGTTCACCCAAAAATGAAAATTCTGTCATTAATTGCTCACCTTTATGTCATTCCAAATCCATAAGACTTTTGTTCGCATGCGTCATGGTACTAGGTAATAGAAGACGTGGTGAATAAAGTGGTTATTTTATGTTTTCTTAGCACACAAAAACTATTCTCACAGCTTCATAAAATTATGGTTGAACTACTGATGTCCCATGGACTATTTAAACGATGTACTTACTACCTTTCTGGGGCTTGAACGTGTCAGTTGCGTTGTTGTCTATGCAGGGTCAGAAAGCTCTCGGATTTCATTAAAAATATCTTACTTTGTGTTCCGAAGATGAACGAAGGTCTTGCAGGTTTGGAACGACATGAGGGTGAGTACGTTTTTGGGTGAACTATCCCTTTAAAAGTAATTAAAAAATGTAAAAGTAATTACAAAATGGTTCAGAAAGATTTGATCCATTATGTATTTATGAATATTCTGTCATTTTTATGATAGCTCTCAGACATAAAGTCTGATTTAAATCGTCCAAAAACATTTGAAGATATCCCTGTTTACTGTTAGTTTTTAAGTAAACTCTCAAAAGTACAGTACGTTCGCAGCTCCCCACATGGAAACCTATTTCCGCTGAGGAAATAACCTAAACAATTTCAGTGTTGAACACTGAAAAATATGAGCTAATGTGGTTTACAGAGGGTACGGGTGGGTATGCAGTCCTGCGGTCAGAGCTGGAACTGACGCTGCTGTGTTGTGTCTTGTGCTGTCTGTGTCGCATGTGTGTTTCTCTCGCTCAGATCAACCACAAGTATCCAGAGAGAAGACTTCTGGTGGCGGAAGCATGTGGAGCTCTGGCCCCTTATTTACCCGTAAGAGACTCCGTTCCTCTAAATATAAAAGCAGTCTAACTGGGACACATTAATCATGTTCACCTTTCAACAAAGTCACAGTTAGTGATCGCTAAAACACGTCCAAGATCACACTAGCCAAACTGCGGTGAGTGGTAGTCAGGCAAGAGCATGCTGAAATAAATAATAATTATCAAATAATCAAACCAGCGAATGTCAGCATAGCGCAGAATCTGTTTGCATTTGTGTCCACTTTGATCATGTGTGTGTGTGTGTTGCTATGGAGGAATGCTGTTTGTTTACAGTGGCTGTACATCATAGAGTTATGGTCGGAACTCTCAGCAGGCTGTTCATCTAGTGCTGTGAAACAGCCTTGGAATCATCATTAGATTGGAATCTTTGAATCTTTTTGCATCTTAATATTGACAATTGAATCTTTTTTTTGTTGTTGTTTTAATTAATTTTTAGACTCAAATGATCAGATCTTTTATATTTGACTCTTTCAAATTGAATCTTTTGAATACATTTTTAGCATTTAATATTTAGAATGGAATCTCTGAATTCCTTTAGAATAGAAACAAATGAGCATTTCGTAAATTAATATTTAGAATCTTTTTCAAATGTTATATTTGAATATTGAGAATGAAGTCTTTCAGTCTTCTCAGAGTTGCATATTTATTTAGGATCAAATTTGCAAGTATTTGACATTATGGTTTTGAGGTCCGTAAGATTTTTTTTAAAAATTATTATTATTATTATTTTATTTATTTAAAAAAAAAACGAATATTTTTATTCAGCAAGGATATGTTAAATTGATCAAAAAGAGAAAAAATCTGTTTAGAATGGAATCTTTGTAATGAAATATTTTAATCTTTTTAGAATGGATTTTTTTCTTTTTGATTCTAAACACGGCAGGCAGTTCATTTATTAAAACAGCCTTAGAAACAATTTAGAACTGGCTCTTTAGACTAGATTCTTTGAATCCTTTTTGCATTTCATCTTTACAATAGAATCTTTTGAATCGTTTAAAATTTATATTTAAATTCTTTTAAATTGTAAATTTTAAAATCCTTTAGATTTAAAATCTTTTTTTTAGAATTTCATATTTAGAATGATATCTTTAAATCCATTTAGAATAGAATCATTTGAACATTTTAGAATTTCATATTTTGAATCTAATTTTCAATTTTTGTTAAACTGTATATGAATCTTGAGAATGAAGTCTTAATAATAACAATAAAATTGTCCAGTCTTTTACACTACTGTTCAACAGTTTGGGGTCAGTACTTTTACTTTTTTAAAGAAATTCATACTTTTATTCAGCAAAGGCACATTAAATTAATTTTAAAAAATGTGACTGTACAGACGTTTGCATTCTTACAAATAGTTTCTATTTCAAATAAATGCTGTTCTTTTGAACTTTCTATTAAAAAATTATTATTTAAAAAATGGCCCGTTTACACAAAAATATTAACTTTTTTTTCAACAGTATTTACAATAAGAAGTGTTTCTTGAGCACCAAATTTGCATATTAGAATTATCTCTGAAGGATTAGTGACACTAAGACTTGAGTAACTGGAGTTTACATTGGCTGTATATCATAGAGTTACAGTCGTAAGGTTTAGCGGGCTGCTCATTTATTAATTCTATAAAAAACTGGCCTTTACATCTGAACTGATTTGGCTCAAACGAGGCTCTGATTGTCGGTGTTATGCCTTTTTTGCCTTTGTATGCTCCAGTCTGTAATGAAGTGTCTGATGTTTACTCACTTCCTCGTGAGTATGAGCACTTCATCATTTAATCAAACACAGCAGAATACATAAAAAGATGTTGTGTAGGCAATTCAGAGCTGGCATGGGAATACAAGTATAGGTGTGTGTGTGTCTACAGAAGGAGATCCGAAGCTCTCTGGTTCTGTCCATGCTCCAGCAAATGTTGGCGGAAGATAAAGCCGATATGGTCCGAGAGGCTGTGGTGAAAAGTTTGGGCATCATAATGGGCTTCATTGACGACCCAGACAAATACTCACAGGTGTGTGCATGTTTTGGCGCTCAAGCACAATCCAGTGTTTTTACACTTACTTTACTAGTGTTTTCTTATGTAAGTCTGCTTTATTTTGTATATGGCTATGTAATAGGGCTTTGAGCTGATGCTGTTGTCTCTGGGCGACCCATCAGAGAGGGTGGTCAGTGCCACCCACCAAGTGTTCATTCCTGCCTTCGCTGCCTGGTGTACAGAACTGGGCAACTTACAGTCCCAGCTCATCCCCTCCCTCCTCACACGCATCGAGAAGCTGCTCAAGGTGAAAACCAGCACGTACACACACACACTAACTTCCTTGTGAAGACCCTTGCTTTTTTTTAGCATGTTTAGACTTCACCTGGCCTGTTTTGAATCTATATAGTTTTTATAATGTGTAGAATCTTTCAATATTTTTTCATTGAATATTTAGAATTGACTTTAATGGAACTTTATTATTTGGAGTGATACTTAAGAATCATTTTAGAAATACATTTTTAGAGTAGAACCATGAAGACTTTTTGAATTTAATCTTTACAACAGAATCTTTCAGAACTTTTTTCAGATCTTATTAAGACTCAAATAATCAAATCCTTTGTTATATTTCAAATCTTTTTTCAGAGTTTAATATTTAGAATGGAATCTTTGAATCTATTTAGAATATAATTATTTGATCATTTTATTTCTAAATATTTGGAATCTAATTTTTATCTTTTATCTAATTTTAAAGTCTTGAGAATGAAGTCTTTATTGTTCTGAATTGCATATTTATTTAGAATAACATTTTTCCATTTTATGGTTTAGGTTTGTTTTTTGTTTTTGTTTTTTTTTTAAGAAATTTAAATTTTTGTTTAGCAAGGACATTAAAATGAGCAAAAGTGACAGTAAAGACAAAGTTTATTTCAAATTAAAAAATATATATATTTATTACTTTATCAAAGAGCACCACAACTGTTCAAAATTTGACAATAATAATAATAAATATTTCTTGAGCACCAAATCAGCATAATAGGATGATTTCTGATGGATCATGTGACACTGAAGACTTCAGTAATGGCTGCTGAAAATTTAGCTTTGCATCACAGGAATAAATTACATGTTAAAATATATTAAAATAGAAAGCAGTTATTTTAAATTGTAATAATATTTAACTAAAATACTTTTTACTGTATTTTTCACCTAATAAATGCAGCCTCTGTGAACATGAGACTTCTTTCAAAAACATTTAAAAAATCTTAACTCTAGACTTTTAAACGTTGTACATTTGAATCTATAGAAAGGAATCTTGAATCCATAGAATGGAATAAATTGTTAGAATAAAATATTCTTTCTATAATTGACTCTTAAGAAAGAAATATTTAAGTATTTCAAACTTTCTTCAAGATTTTGCAAGGGCTGCGTTTCCCAAAAGCATCACAAGCCTAAGTTGATTGTAGAACCATTGTAATCAAGGCTTACGATGCTTTTGGGAAATGCAGCCCAGGTTTTGCTGTTCTTCTCAAAACATTTAGAGACATTGTGTGCCCACAAAGTAACTAAGCACAACATATCCAGCACTACAGACACACTCTTTTAGCTTCCTTCAGTTATTTCATTCCTAAATTCCTCTCTCTTCCTCCAGCAGGGTGAATATGGTCTAGATGAACACAAGCTGCATATGTATCTGTCGGCGCTTCAGTCCCTCATCCCGTCGCTATTTGCGGTGCTGCTTCAGAACGCCCCCTTCACCAGTCGAGCCAAACTACAGGGAGACGTGCCTCCAATCGAGGGTGAGGGTCGGCCAACGTCAACACACACGCACGCGTTTTTCGCTAACTTTCTCAGTCAGGCCACGTTTAGCTACGCAGACCTGGCGCCTGACTCAGTGTAACTGTAGGGTTCCTGCCATGTTGAGGTTGCTCTCTGGTTTTGGGCTCACTATCAAAGTGCTCTTTCATTTACGTGCTGCGGCCACGTCAGATGATTTGCGCAGTTATACTTTTTTGGTGTATTCATGGTTTTAAAATCTGCTCTTGTGTGTGTGTGTGTGTGTGTGTGAATGTGACCTTGCAGTGACCCGATTCCCGCGGCCAGTCTCCCCGTTGCAGGACGTGGCCACCATTGTGGGCAGCCGAGAGCAGTTGGCAGTTCTGCTGCAGTTATATGATCATCAGCTCCAGCATGAAGGAACTACAGGATGGGACAGTTTGCTCTGGGTGGTCAACCAGTTGTATGTTAATGTCTCACGCACACTTTTCCCCCTTTTTACCTCTGGTTTTTGCCATTGTTATTGAAGGTGGAGACAGGAACTTGGGTCACCCACTCATGTTGGAGCGCCAGGCCGCACCTCAGACATTCTAGAGCATTAAATGGCATGCATATGTGTTCGTTAAAAAGAAACGGCTCATAAAAAATACTTTACTTGATCTTTTGATATACTGTTAGAATTCATAATCCAAAGATTTCTCTTCATCCCACCCAGATTATTTAGAAAAAGGGAAACCTAAGGGTCAGAAAGTGTCAGATGACGTCATAACAAAGAACATATTAACATTTGGAATAGGCCACTCCAGACAAACTCAGAAGTTTTTGTAAATGGCTGAAGATGTTAGCATCAGTTAATTCTTAATGTCTCACGCACACTTTTCCCCCTTTTTACCTCTGGTTATTGCCATTGTTATTGAAGGTGGAGACAGGAACTTGGGTCACCCACTCATGTTGGAGCGCCAGGCCACACCTCAGACATTCTAGAGCATTAAATGGCATGCATATGTGTTCGTTAAAAAGAAGCGGCTCATAAAAAATACTTTACTTGATCTTTTGATATACTGTTAGAATTCATAATCCAAAAATTTCTCTTCATCCCACCCAGATTATTTAGAAAAAGGGAAACCTAAGGGTCAGAAAGTGTCAGATGACGTCATAACAAAGAACATATTAACATTTGGAATAGGCCACTCCAGACAAACTCAGAAGTTTTTGTAAATGGCTGAAGATGTTAGCATCAGTTAATTCTTATTCAGATTCAAATTAATAGGAATGAAAATATTTTATTTTTTGATAAAATAATTAAAAATATTTTTTTAATAAA